GAGAGGTTGAAAGGATGAAAAGTGGATCAAAGAAAGGTTTCTAGCCAGAAGTAAATTTCTGGAATTGTTATTAAGTTTCATGAGAGTAGCGTTTGTAAGGTAAATAGCAGCTGCTTTATCTGATATATTTCATACAATGTATTGTATTCTGTGGTGACAGGAACAGCGCACATTGGGCGCAATGTGAACGTGATGTGTGTTATGTTTTTGGCATTGGCTTAGTTAAATATGTGGCCAAAGAAAGAGGAACTGAGTGGGACTGAAAAGGATTGGGGTTTGTTCTCCCATTTGTTGTGTTATACTATGAAAATAATTGTGAATATTGGAAATCCTAGTAACACCTGAGCATGTGTTTGATGAAGCATTGTAAAGGATCAAAATTCCTATTACTGCAAAAGAGATTTTCAGGGAGAATTATACTTGCCAGCAATCCTGTATTTGCTTTCTAAAGTGATGGGGGGGAAAAAAAAAAAAAAAAAAAAAAAAAAAAGAGGTGGAAAGAGATCTGTCTCCTCATATCAAGCTCAGGTCTGGCGTATATAGTTTATAGAGCATCCCTTACATTTTATTTGCTCCAGTTTGGGTGATGGAATTTCTAGCATTTCTTTGCCTCTCTTGTCCTGGTTTCTGTAATAGTTACAACTTGTGTTTCTGTTTTTGTTTGTACAACCTTATCCAGTTCCCTGGCTTATGATCAGCTGGACCAACCAGAAAAAGCCCCGTTTCTCTTGGTCTTCAAACTCTTCAGCTCTTGTCAACATGTGTCATGTTCTGTTTATGATCTTTAATGAAAATATTGGGTGAACAGGATCTTAATTCCCATCTCCCAAGAGAAGTAGAAATTGTTATTGGCTTATCTTTAGAGTTCAACTGCATAAAGCACTGAACACTACTAGAAGGGAAGTAATTCTGAACTAGTAAACAATTGAAATAAATGTGGTTGGCAGCTGAAATTAGCATTATGTACAATTGACCAAAAGCAATCCCTTTGAAAAAAATCGCTTTTCCTTTTTGGCTTTGCCACTAACTTGTGAACATGTGCAAAAATATGTTAGGCTGCCTGTAAATCAGAGGTGTTTTAGGTTGTCATAAAGTTGACTGCAGTGTTCAGACAGGGATAATAGATTATTACAATTTATTATGTCAAAAGCACCACAATTAAAGACAGTCATTCTGTAGTACTGTCTTATTTCTCAAAAATGTTTATAAAGACAATATCCATAAACTATTGTTTGACTTTTTTTTGTTGTTCTTGTTGTTTTACAGTGAGTTTGTGTTTTCACACTTGTGCTCTATAGTTGTAAACTGTAGTAGTCTAAGAACTTTTGTTTTTTCCCCATGTAGACCCACTTAGTTTTACAGGACAAGGTGATATATTTCTGACCTGTAACACAATTTACTAAAACTGTGTTAGTTACCCCTAGTATATTCTATTTGCTGAAGGACTAGAAGAGAACAAATTTGATAAAAAAACCCCACAACCAAAAAAACCCAACAGTCTGAAATGGTAATGTATAATCTTGTAATGCAATGGCAAGTAAAGTAAATAACCAATTTTTAGCACTGGCAAAAACTTAGCCATTGAGTATGTATTGAGATTTGTATTTAGGACATCAGATAATTGGAAGAGAGGGTAGGCTATTAGAGGCAGAACATCTGATGTAGTCAAAAATGTTCTTGCAAAATAGTTACAAGAATAATTGAATAGGTTAAAATACAGCTTCCCTTCAGCTCATGGTTACTGCCCACTCAGCTCACCCAGTGCCTGTGAATGCTTCTAGCCTATTTTAATTCAAAATAAGGCAAGCCCATTTTAATCACCGGGGGAGCAGCTGGTATCAGCCTCTGTCAGAAGGAGGATGCTGGTCTTGTTTGAAACTGTATTCCCTGTATTTCTTTAGTGGGGAAAACATACTTCAGGGTTCAAGGAATAGGACTTAAGAATCAGTTGGAAAAAGAAATTGTGTTTTTTTTGTCAAATAATCCCCTGTCTTATGCCACTCGATGTATTAAATATGCTTAGCTTTTATAAATAAAAAGCTTTGTGTCTCTGGGTCTGAATGTTGTGCAGAAGTCCAAAGTATTAATGCAGTTGGTAGTCAGGAAGGTAGGCAGACTACTGCATCCTGGCCCAGCACTTAGCAAGCAATATCAGCATCCCCATTTGGCTGTATTCCAAACGCTGTGCCTCTGTATCTTTGTTTTGAAGAATCAATGTAGATTGACTTGAGTTCAGGAGAGGATTTCGTCAGTCAGCTTTCAAGTAGTGAATGTTGGGGCCAGTCCCTTGTTTGTGGAGTTGACAGTACAAAAGTGAGTGTTTGACACGTGGCTTGCTCAGTGGATGGGGATAGAAGCTGTTGAGATTTTTCAGAGATCAAGCTGTAAATGAAGTTGTTCTGTTGGGTCACTCATCTGATTTACACACAAGCTGTTTCTATTGAAGCACCTGGGGCCTTTTGTTCATGCTTGTGAATAAGCCTCTTTCAGTCACCAACAGTAATTTAGCGTCTCTGCTTCCTTCAATAGGTGAAAGGCAAGTACAGGAATGACATTTTCTCCCACACTGTGTGCTTCACACTTATTTTTTAAGATAGATAAAAGAACTGTACCAGTAATATAAATTTTACTATATACTGGAGCAGATTCAGAAGTCATCTAAGGTGTTGGTAATTATTACCATATACTTCCTAATTCTGGAATAATAGTAAGCAGCAGGAGTGCATGGATGAGTAATGATGTCCTCTGTAGGTAGAGGGTTCTGCAGAATATACTCCAATATTTTCCTTTGTTACTGTGGCAATTTTAGAGGAAGACATTTCATTATCTTGTCAGTGCCCTGGCACAATGGAGTACCCTACCTGCAGCTTGTAGTGACTGACTTGAGCCATAATCTTCCATAAACTTTGAGGCAACATAAACTTGCCTTTCTACTGACAGAGTGGTCTGCATGCCTCTGTGTCTTTCCATGCTTCAGTCAACATAAATACTTAAAGTAACTTATTTTAACTTGTCAATTTTAATGGCAGTCAGCTCTTTGAGTTCATTATCACAGCACGAATACTTGAACCAGCACAAGATATAGGAAAATTTGAGAAGAGGGAATAAATGATTGGGGCAAGACTTTGATGAGTCTGAATGAAAAAAAAAAAAACCAACAACAAAAAACCAACCTGTATTTATTTTGTGTTATGTTATGAATCCTAGGATGGGTATTGGTGAGCAGCTGATGCTTACCTATTGCATTTGGTCTGCATTGTCAGAGGTACCATGTTGTAGTATCTTCTGTTTTACTGTGACATTCTTGGAGAGTAATAAACAACTTTAAATGTATTATTAAATTGGTGAAATGCTTAACCATAGATGTCCACTTCATCTGTTTTTTGGTTTTGTGGTTTTTGTTGTTTTTTTTTTAAGGCTGATCATCACAACAGCTTTTAATAGCTGTCATGACACATTACAAACAAAAGATGCTGGCATTTGGAAATTTTTTGTATGTGGAAGTATTTTGGGGGGAAGGTTAGGATGGCAGACAAGGAAGTATGACTCGGATTTTAATACTATGGCAGTAATTTTTTTGTCTTCAGGAGGGGCATTATCTACAAATTCATGTGATGTGCAATACTATGAAGTATGCAAGTTCTCGAGTTTCAGTAACTTTGTAAAGTGAAGAGGTTTTTTTAAAACAAAAATGAAGTGAGGAATTTATTTTAAGCTATTCTAAACTTCTAATAAGCACATTTGTATAGAATATGTTCCCCAGCAGTCTTTTAATACTATTTCTGGAACAGCAGTGTAAATTGCAACAAAGTACAGCAAAGAACATGGTGATAGACAGGGTTAATCTCTCTGGCTGTCAGCACAGTACCAGATTATGAATGTTGGTGATCACCTTTCTGCTCTTTCAAGGATGGGTTACGTTGCTTTTACGTACTTATTTAGTGCAAGATTGTGCAAAGTTTTCTAGCCCTCAAGACCAGCAAGAAACGGTGGCTCAAAAGGCAGCTGTCATTTCATACCCATTCCAGCTGCCCTTTCCACTCAGATTTCCTCCCAACCCCCCTTTAAAAAAAAAAACAAAACAACGGGGGTGGGGTGGGTGGGGGGAAGGATTTCAAAAAAGAAGAGTATGAGGGTTTGAAATCTCTAGCATCGACTCTATCACATCCTACAGTTTTCATAGCTATCTGCCAATTTAAAATATACTTGTTTTTTCCTGACTTGCCAGTAATTAGACAAATGCAGCAGTGTTTATGGCATCAAAAACTCTGTGGCTGGTAAAAGCAATTGCTATCATAATGCATCCCTAAACTTAATAGTAGTGGTGTAAAATGAACAAGCAGCTCTCTATATTTCAGGGGGTAATGGCTTTAACTATCAAAATGGCTAGTATTTTCCTTGATTGGCTGCTTTGGTTCCTTTTTTGTATTTGTGTTTGGAGGAACAGAATCAATTTATTATAATAATTGTATTTTATTTAATGAATAACAAGGCAAGCAGAAAGATGAAACTTCTGTAAAGTGTCACCAAGTTCCTATTAACCTTGGATTGCAGGTTTTTACTTCCATTCCTTTCACAGACAAAACACAAACCTTTTCTTTCCCTGCCAGTATTACACTTAAAGTTGTCATTTCCTTTTCTGCTTCCCTTGCAAAATTGCTTGCTTTGTGTTGTGCCTGGAGCGTAGCTGTGCATGGAGAAGAGGTCTGATTAATTGGAAAGAAACTTTTTGTACTGGAAAAGCTTATACACTGGTGTAGAAAATTGGTCAAAAATTTACTTTCTTGATCCATAGTGCCTTTTTCTTGCTACTTACTATGACATCTATAAAGCTTCTCTAAAGGAAGACTCATCAGCAGTTTGTGTTCTCTTTAAGATGTCTCGGTCTTTAAGGCCAGGTGCAGTTGTGTTGATGCCATTTGGCTAAACCTTGAAAGTTCCTATAATCTGTGCCATCCTGTCTCATACAGTCCCATCTCATAGTTGTCCTTTCTCTGCAGTGCTCTATGCCCAGATCTCTGTGGCTGGGCTGCTCCAGCCTGGCGGACAGCATGCCCTCGCTGCGATGCCTGTATAACCCAGGGACTGGCGCACTCCCAGCTTTCCAGGTACTTTCTGTCTCTCCCTGCTCCTCCTTTTCTCTCCATCTGTGTATGTGTGCATCTCCTTCTTTACTTGCTTGCTTTATCTCCATTTATTCTGTATGCCTCTCCTGTGTCATTCAGATCTCTGGTATTTAAACCCACATTGTGTAGACTTAGGGCAGCTCCGTGCTGGGGCGTTTCCATACTTCAATATAATTATTTTCTCTAAATTGGCTTGGTACCATCATCTCTTCCATTGGCTTTCAATTGTGTCAAAAATATACCACTTAATTGTATTTGGCAAACAGTATCTATCACACAGTCTCCAATCTGGCTATTCATGCAATGATTCCTCTCCTATCTAAATTTTCTGTATGCCACTTAGAGGGCTGAGGGGGTGAGTTCATTGCCATAGTGATAATTGATGCCAGCATTTGTTTATTTCAGGTTTGTTAGTGGTAGTCTGGACATTTTGACTACAGAAAATTATTGTACAATAAGTAAGCTGTCAATCAAAAGGCAAATAAAGGAAACCTGTTTTTTTAATTTGGTCTCTGCATTTGTTAGATTCAAGCTTTTCTCTGTCATGAGACGGCTTTCTGCCAAAGAGGTTCATTCAGACACTTTGGGTGACCAGTGAATCTTACAAAATGCAGACACTCTCCTGTGGGTAGAGAGTGACACAGCTGTTGGGTGAGCATATAGAAACCTGGACGAGGCCATTAGGATCATTGCAAGCATTTTATGATGATGTGGATATATACAGCAGAGACTGGGCAGCAGAGATTTTATGTTAATGTTGGATACTCTGTCTCTGAGATGTGTCAACTGCAGTGACTGAGGGACCTTAGTAGTATCTCTGTAGAGAGTCTGTTTATTGGAGCTCATGATAGCATGAACATTTACTTTAAGGTTTATGCTGCTAGATTATGCTACTGCTGATCTAACCTGTGGCAGAGAGTTTTATTCATCAGCATCTTGCAAAACTAGACATAATGAATAAGCTAGAATCTTCCTGAAATTTTCAGTCATTTTGATGAAAGTTTATTATCTGCCTCTAAAGGACAGCATGCGAAGATTATTTTGAATTTGACTTCTTGCTCCCAGGGCTAGGAGAGTACTGTGGAAATAATCCTCTCAGTCTCTGGGGAGGTTTAAGTATCTTGCATCATTTTGCTGCAACTCTTTTTGCTGACCCAGCAGTAGCACTGATGGACTCTGAAAGGTGTCCTGCTAGGCCTTCTTTGCTGAAGCAAGCTTTTAGCGGAGCTTTTCATGGGGGAGGGGAAAGATGACTTTTTATTAGTTTAAGATGACTCTGGAGACAACAGGCAGAGTTTAGACTCCTACTTCTAATCCTGATTTGCATAATTTGACTAAATTGGATGGGCCTCATTTTTGGGATTTCTGCTGCTGAATAAATCTCAGATCTCTTTAAGCTCAGGTTTTGGAGAACCTTAGCAGTATTTTTATAAACTCAGATTGGGACTCCTTTCTTTCTACTTTAAATTATTTTTGATTACTTGGAATAAATGTATATTATGAAGGGGAATTGAAATTAGCCTCTTTTAGCTCAAGATATTTTTGCTAATGATAGATATGAATAATAACTGTCCTGCTAATACAGTGCATTGATATTTGGGGTCAAATGAGTCAGCTGCACAACTGTTCACTGTGTACTGCCTTCTTGAGAGAGTAGTAGGACTGACATTTGCATTCTTGCAGATTTTGAGAGACATTTCCATGTGTACTTAGTGACTGTGGGAACTGAGGAAGTCTGCCCCACGTGCCGTCTAAAATGGTATACTGATACTCTTCACAGCACTCCAACTGCTATGTTGAGGAGCACATTTAGTGCCAATTGAGAGAAACTACATTTCCAGCAACAGCTTCTGCAGCAATGAGTCACCCATATTTCAGTCCATTTTTTTTCAGTGGGCTTTCATCCCCATTAACTTGCATGGTTTGAAGAAAACTCCCCTCTATGAGGCATGGCTTCTGCATTTTCCAGTGCAGAAGTCTACATGGGAGTGTTTTGGAGCGTGCTTGAAGCTGTGATGTTGCAATATTTCATAGTTCTTTAATGCTTTTTTGGATATTGAATCTTTAGGAAAGCATTGCTTGTAGCCCAGCAAATTTTCTCATATTAAGTTATTTTCTTTTTTCTGTAGCAAGCTTGAAGTAACTGGAGAAGCATATCAATGTTCTTTGCTTGTGGCAAAAGAGAAGATGCCATCTGGAAGGCTACTTAGTCACTGCTGAATTTGTCTAGTTATTTACATGCTTACCTTCAGATGCTCAGACAGAAATGTGGAAAGAGGCTCTTTTTGAGTAGTTCAGTTAAAGCCCTGCTGACTCCTCTTGGTCTCATTGGCATTGGCAGATAGTCGATTTACAGATGATTCTGTTAATATGTCAGATAACTTCATTTTTCTTCTTTGTGTGTTTTTATTATTTGAGACACTTGTGTGAAAACAGGTTCTTCTGGTTCCTTAGATCTGTTTGGCAATTCTCCCACAGTGGAAAGGCTAAAGCCATGAGTGGGAGAATAGGGAACAGTTCTTTTTAACATCTTTTATCTCAAAGGGCTTTGCAACTGATATTTTATTGTGTAACTGAATTTCATAGAGATCATAGTGGAAGATGGCAGCAAATTGGAACATGAACTCCTGTAAGACACTGTGGGAAGGGGTCAAAGAGGATATTTTAACAAGAGAAAAAGGCCAGACATTCCATTTTCAGTGTCTTGGATGTGAAATTTTACTGTACTGTTATTCTGCAAAGCAACTGAAAACTAGGTTGTATGTAGATTCTCTTAATAATAATAAAAAATAAATTTATGCAGAATATATTATTTTTCAGGGAAATCCATGCTTTGGAAGTTTCCAGATGTGCTAACAGGTGTCTGTTTCAATGACATTTTTCATTTGAAGATAATTACTTTCTCTTTTAAAATATTTTCCATGTATGCTCACAAGGCTACATTGCTCTTGATAGTCACAGTTCTTTGAAAATTTTAATATACAATTACACCTATCAAGTATGCCAAGGAAATGATTGTATTAATCCTTCCAGGTCTGCAGAAGACCGTTGTATTTCCTTGAACTTACTTCTGTAAGCTATTGTATAAATGAGGAGACTTAAGGAGCAATTTAAAACTCTTGACAAAGGTTATATATCAGGGTAGTCATAGAGAACAGTTCAGCTCTTTCTTTTTACCTGACACCCATCACAAATATCAGCTCCATTTTAGATTGTAAACTTTTTGGGACAAGAGTCAGGCTTTTATTTTTCTGTCTGGAGCATCGGCACAGGTGAAAAAACAAAGAGTTGTCTTGTCAGCTTTATTTTGCCAGATCTGAAATTCTCTTTCTGTAACAGGCTCTAGTAGTCAAAGAGGAGGATTAACTTCTGTGGCAGAGGTAGCAGCATCTTGTTGAATGCAGAAGTGTGTCTGGAATGCCAGAAATTCACATTTTGCTTTACCCGAAGTGAAGGTCTTGATCATATCGGGGTTTGTCAGATGAACAGGACTACCTTCTGCTTGGTTTTGCAGAAGCAAGGTGTGTCTTCCTTGGTCTTGGCAGAAATCTGTCCTGGTTGATGAAAGCATGGATGTACTGTGCTGGACAAATTGAAGTAAATAGGATCGCGCATGAGATTGTGCAGCATGGACATGATCTACACTGTGCCTTTCTTTGGGCTGAGATCACTTTTGGAGAAAGGTGAGAGATGTAAACAGTCTGTAGTGATGGAAGCCTATTGCACCCGTGAGGACAAGATTAATTCATTTCTCAAATGATTTTTACATCTATTTTTCTCTAATGTTTATATTTTTGTGTTGGGAAGTGGAATATTTGTTAAAGAAGCATTGTGAGTAAATTGTTAGAAATAGTTGTCTGTAAACTTCTTTCAGCCTGTTCGTACATTTTTGCTTTAAAAGTTGACATTTTATTGCTGGGAAATACAGAGTGAATGTGAGTAGTACATTGTTTATGATTATACAGGAGGTTAAAGCTAAAGCATCGGCGTGGGCAAACTGTGCATGCTTAGAAACATGTTTGTGAAAAAAATGCATTTGAACGAAACTTGCTTTGGTGCCAGTGTTTGCTGATGTGTGTAGTTCTGTCTCTAATTGGGAGAGAGATGAGATGTCCAGTCAATAGGCTCCATCAGCGTGGAGATGTGGCCGCCCTCGACCAAGCCTGCTTTGTATTCCCTCCTTGCGCTCTCCCAGTGGCCGTGTGAAATCCGCCCGCGGGCTGTTTATGGTGTGCCTCTAAAACAGAATCATAATTTTGGTGACTAATAGCCAGAGCATGCGGCTCCATCACCCCCCGGCTGGCGGCAGGCTCTCCCCTGGTTATGAATGTAGTTAGGTGGCCCCCAACTGTTTACAAGACAGCAGAGGTGAGATCTTTGATTGACAAGTCAGAAATGCATTAGATCATTCCCTCTGCCAGTCTCTGGTTCATGCTGTTAAAAATGTCAGCCTCTCCAAGTTTGAATGGCAGCCTGAGGGCCTCAGAAGCTTTTTGTTTTCTGAGATGGAAACACAAATTGGATGTGTGCCTGAGCGCTTCATCCTGGGCTGTAATTTCATCTTTTAGCTAAGAACCACAAGGTACATGAGCAAAGCACCCTGTAAACAATAATACTGGGAAAAAAAATAAACAAGGTCGTGTTTCTGGTACGTTGATCCACTGGTGTCCTGACCTCTATCACGTTGAACATCTCCACTCTGATTGCTGTTCCCTTTGGCATTACAATGAGAGGAGAGAGACTGACACAGGAGGCAAAGATTTAAAGTTGCAGTGTTGTTGCACATTCCTTGTATTGGCTATGAAATATTGAACTGCCACAATGTGACACCTCGTTTTTTAAGCAAAGTTTCTTGTTGGAGGTGTTCAGCAGCAGTTTCTCCTGTTTCTCCTCATCACCTGGCAAGAGCAGTTATAAAGGCATGAGAGGGGATATGAGAAGGAGGAGAAATGAAGCCAAATTAATTGTGTAATTTTTGCACT